ATCATAGGTTAGCTACTAAGAGATTTGTGTGCTGTAGATGGCTAACGAAACTCAGTGGGTGCTTAGCCCTGTTGTTCATGTGCATGGCTTGTCTCCATGTATTGTGCAAGTTAGTCAAGTGGACCTCACTTTCGATTGGTTGAAGACTAAAATCATGTTGAAGCAAGGGTTGAAGGAAGAGGATTTTGTGTACTACGTCAGCAGGAGGAAGTCAGATGGCCCCGGGGAAAGAAAATTGGTTGACATAACTGATGATGACAAGATTCAAGAAATGCTGGAAGAATGGAAATGGAAAAGGGTTGTTGACTTGCATTGCTACAGGAAACCGAGTTATATGTGATGTTCATGTCGTTTCAACCATCGTGGTCATGAACTACTTATGTCATTCGAGACTATTTGTGTAATTTGAACTATGTTTGTAATTTGCTATGTCATTCGAGACATTGTATCGTAGACCATCGTGGTCATGAACTAAGTTTGTAATTTGAACTATGTTTGTCATTTGTCAACTATAGTGTTATGAAAAGACTATGCAATGCTTATGTATGTATGTTATTCGAAACTACAAGTGAAAAGACAAAACTACAAGTGAAAAAGCAAGTATTTTCTGCACCAGGACCAGACGCCAAGGACCCTGGCGTCTGGCTCCCCTGCTTTACCCTGTTTCTGGTGTCAGTAGACTGCCAGACGCCAAGGACCCTGGCGTTTGGTCGCCTGACTTACAGCCAGATGCCAAGGACCCTGGCGTCTGGTACAGCCAGACGCCAAGGACCCTGGCGTCTGGCTCCCTGTGCATATAGATGACTAAGTACAGATTTCATCATTCATGTCAAACATTCATATAAACATTCATATAAATGACTAAATCACAGGAAACAACAATTAACATAAATCACATCATTCATGTCAAACATTCATAGCAACTTCACGAATCCAGTACAACTTAATTCGAACGGCAACAAGTTCATGGAAAGAAACGACAACAAGTTCATGGAAAGAGACTACACCAGGTTCGTCGAAACAAACTAGAACAAGCTCATTGAAACAAACTACAACAAGCTCACTTCTTCCTTCCTCTCTTCACGATATCTGCAAGCGTATGCTCCTCCTCTTCGCTAGCCTCATGCTCCTCCTCTTCGCTAGCCTCCTCCGCCTCTGCATCAATGTTCGACTTATATCTTTGCATTCCCGCAGGCATAAATTGATGAGGATACTCCGGACTATGGAATTGAGTGTTCCATATCTTCTTTCTACCTTTCTGGCCCGGTGTCTTAGCTATTGCTTTGCCTTTTCTAGAGCGGGCATTGCCTTGTGTCGGTTGTGTAACCTGTGATGGTTGTGGAGCATCAACATCATACTCATGATCCTCTTGATGTGTTGCATCATACTCATGCTCATCATGATGTGTTGGCTCCTCTTGATGTGCTGGCTCCTCTTCATTGACCTCCTCCTCTATGTCCTCTTCGTTCTGGACATAACGCCGTTTATTAGCTCTGGCGGCGCGGCTACCTGGTGCATACACGTCACTGGACTGAGCACCATGGCAAGAAAGCATAGCTGCCATCTTATGGAACCGCTTCTTGAACTTCTGCGACAACACAAAATATGCTATGATATGAGATGCAAATAACTAATCCGCGAAAAAAAGTTTTATAATATATTGCGACTAACCTCCATCGTGCTCCTAAGAGTCCTCTCAGATAATGCACCACCAGGTGGATGACTCAGTGCAACATTGGCATCGTTGACGCACAGAAGCAACTCTCTGCCCTGCAATTCATGAGCACACCAAACTTATGTATTTGAAAGAAAGACAACATGATGCAAGTATGTTAGAATAGGTCAAACAGACTACCATTTCGTCATGCATCGGTGCGTAGTCAACATGAGCCCCTCTGGTGTCTCTCACAGCCGTGTTGAAGGTATGATAACCTTCTGCAGTCTCCGGGTCTTCAGACACCAACTCCGACCACTCCTCGTGAGTCCAACCTGGCTTCAGCTTTAACCGGTAACGATCCGCATACCACACTTGATACTTCTGATATGCTGACTGATTGTGAGGTCTATTCTCTGATTGCACTAACGTGTCTCTTTGATTCCAAATTTCTATCCATGCACGGTGTTTGTTTGCCCAATCCGATATATCCTGATTGTTCCTTCGATCGAACCTACAAATGATGCACGGGACAAAGCATTAGCAAACACTGACTTATTCAATGCTCTACTACATACTCAAGGCATGCTTGCTTACCGATGCAGAGATAGCATTTCCTCCTTGCTCTCCTCAATTGGAATACCTTGTCTTTTTCCAAATTGTCTTGCCACACGGTCTACAAAGTGCCACTCGACTGCGAAGAAGCATATCATTGGGCACCTCGCCCGCCAAAGATGGCTATCACGCGTGCACATCTCATTAAGATCAAAGTCACGATCTTCCACATAAGGCAACCAATGTACCTGCAAAACAAAGAGATACATTGTTAGCTACATACATAAGTTTCATTCTTGACTAAATTTTATCTCATCGAACTTCTCATAACCTGCTCAGCAGTCAAGGTGTCCAGCTCGTTCATATAGCACTTGTATCGCACATGCGAGCTTCCTGTGTACACTGTCACTTGTTCCCAATAGTAAGCAAGCGTAGGGCGCCGATATGGATCATCATCATGCAACCCGTCATGATTACCCCGTGGGTTTGCCATGAGGGGGTTCTTCAAATCGGGCCGTCCAACCGGGATCCGCTCCCACATCCACACGGATAGGCTCCAAACAAACCCAGACAATGAGGATGTACCTCCCTTCCTCCGACACGCCAAGTCAAGCTGCAATCAAACAAACATGTTAGATATGGAAGCGCATGACAAATGCAAAATAATTGGTTGCAAATATCTCTTACCTGACGATACAAGTATGCTAGTGCGGCCGAACCCCAGCTATACTGGGTATCCCAGTTATTAAGTGGCTCCAAGAACATCCAGAGGGCTGAGTTCCCGGTTGCATCTGAGAAGACTACCTTGGTTAGTACATACCAAAGATAGGCCCGCGCGTACTGCTGCACAACCACGTCATTGGCATCCTGAGGGCACGGGTTGGTGTTTCCTCTGACCAGTTTTAGCCAAGAATGCCTCACTTTCGCTGTATCGGCCTTGCCTTCCTGAGGGCCCTCGGGCTGAACGCCAATTAAATCGGCAGTCCGTTCTCGCCAATTACCCACGCTGACACGACCGGTAACAGCTTGTCCATTGATAGGAAGGCCGCTTATCATAGCCATGTCCTGTAGGGTCATCGTCATCTCCCCACATGGAAGGTGGAAGGAGTGAGTCTCCGGCCTCCAACGATCCACAAGTGCGGTCAGCGCCGCGTGGTTCACCGGCGGAGCGCGTCGCTTAAACTGCAACACGAATGGGAGAAGACCCAATCTCCGAATGTAAGGCTCATACCGCGGGTCGTAATCAAAGTCATCAGCGGAATGACCCCTCATGCGCATAGCAATTACAACCTGCAAATAAAGTGATGTTTTAATAATCAATACAAGAACACAAATGAGAAACAACGAAAATTGACCCAGTCTTGCTTCTTACCTGTCCATTTTCAATGGCACGAGCACGATGCTCCTTATCCCACTCATCGATTAATCCGTCATACCAAGGTCCATCACCATCCACCATCCTACAAAAAAATTTCACAAACATCTATGAATACATGAACAATATCAAACAATTTCCTTCTCCAAGTTTATTCCATATGAAAACACCATTCTTCTCAAACATAACCACATCATTTCTTTCTTCTACATATGCACACATATCATCTAGAGTACCAAATTTCACCATCAAATATATTTCATTATCATCATCCGCCATTCTATTGAACAAATCATGTCACACACAATAAGAAAATTTCATCATCTCTTTTGCATAAATTTTTTTGCCAACAATAGTATGCCAACAATAGGATTATCTACACATACACACATCATCTATCAAACCAAATATAGTATGCCAAAGTCTATTTTACATACACAAATCATATATTCATCACCCCTCTTAATTCAAAAAAAAAATCCTATGAACAACATATACACAAAACCGAATTGATTTTACCTACATGTTCAACTACACATCATCTACTGCATACCTAATCATCTATCAACTACACAAAATTTTCTAAAAATAAGAAACCATCTACTCATCTAACATCACCTAGTGTTGAATAATGCATCCAACCAAAGAGGGGAAAACAAAAAAAAATTGGAGGGAATGGGGGAGAATACCTCAAAGAAGCTTGGGGGGGTCCGATCTGTGAGTTTGAGGGGTTGATGGAGTAGATCAAGGGGGGTGGTGATGGGAGGGAGAGAAGGGGCGAAGAACAGAGCCCTCTGTTCGTCGTGCGCCGCCAGGAGAAAGATGGGGATGGGTGGGCTGGCCCGCGCGGTTATCCACTTACCGGGGCCAGACGCCAGGGACCCTGGCGTCTGGCCCCTTTGCCACGTCAGCAGGTCAACGGGCAGGCGGGCAGTGCGGGCCAGGGGCCAGACGCCAGGGACCGTGGCGTCTGCTTCGTAACCCAGACGCCAGGGACCTTGGCGTCACCGAAAAAGGTCAGAAACGAATTTTTTTTTGAAACGAGGTCAAATCGGGATTTAGTTTGCCTTAAGGGTCAGAACAGTAATTTTGTCCACCTCACGCCGCCGCTTCTTTTGCTGCTGCCTGCTCTGCTCTGCTCTCACTCACGCCCCCCTGCTCTGCTACAGTGCCAGTGCCAGTGCCGTATATTACTCCGCCGCAGACCAAGAACCAACCGCACCGCCGGACGACGGCGAGCCCCATCCGCCCTCTTCCACACCTCTCATCCCCCTCCCAGGCAAGCTCCTCACCGCCCCCCTTGGCCTCCGCCGGCTAGCCATCGATCCGCTCCTTCCGGACTCCCCCCCTGATCTCAGATCCGCTTCCTAGCCCACGATCCCCGACTGCCTAGCGACCTAGCCAAGCTGGTCCAGAATGGCGGCATATCAGTGCGAGCTTTCTTCAGCCATCGTGGCCGAATCCGAGGACAGGTCGTTCGTGTTCAAGGTGCGTGTATACTCAAGGGCCAAGCAGCTGCTCAAGTGCGGCGAGTGCGTCACCTCGCCCCCGTTCACCGTCCAAGGCCACGACTGGGTGCTCATGTATTACCCCAACGGCCGCTTGGCAACAGGTGCTGCTGCAGGTTACATGTCCCTGGTTCTTGACACCGCCGACGGCAAGGATGTGACCGTCAAAGCCAGGAACATCAGCGTGCTTGACAAGAATGGCCTGCCAGGCCGCTACTACGGCACCATGTTTGAAAACATCATGTTTGAGACGCCTGTCTCCTTCACCAGCAGAAATTCGTATCTGTGCCTCATGGTCAGGAAGGCAGGCTTGGAGCACTCAGGGGACATAATAGAGGACTCTTTCAGCATCAGATGTGATCTCACTCTCAAGGATATCGGCGAGCAGTTTGTCGTGGTCCCTCCGAGCGACATGCATCTGCATTTCGGCAGCCTTCTGGAGAGCATGGATGGAGCCGACGTCGCCTTTCTTGTCGGCGGGGAGAAGTTCTCGGCTCATAGGCTCGTGCTTGCTGCCAGGTCATCCGTGTTCAGGGCAGAGCTCCTCGGCGCCATGAAGGAGAAAACCGACAGCCTCATTGAAATCAGTGACATGGAACCTCATGTGTTCAGGTCCCTGCTCCATTTCATATACACCGACTCGCTGCCTGATCTTGAGATTGAGATGGCCAGCGAGCAAGGTGAAGCACATGGAGGAGATGTGGTGATGGCTAGCCATCTACTCGTGGCAGCAGACAGGTACGACATCGAGAGGCTGAAACTGATATGCGAGCACAAGTTATGCAGCCACATTGATACCAACATGGTGGCGACAAGTCTGGCCTTGGCCGAGCAGCATAGGTGCCATGGGCTTAAGGTAGCTTGTCTACAGTTCCTTGCTTCTCCTTCCAATTTGGAGGCCATGATGGCGAGTGATGGCTATCAGCATCTCAAGAGGAGTTGCCCATCTGCCCTTAAGGACCTAATTGCTAGTCTCCTGCCGGTCACAATGAAAGCGGCCAAGGATATTATCATGGAAATTTAATTTACTAGCTAGCGTGGCTCCGCATCTAAATTAGGTAAGTATATAATGTGCATGTTTCATCTTACTAGTTCTCTAGGTATGGTCGGATGTGTGCATCTATCTATCTATCTATCTATCTATCTATCTAAGACTGTAATGCAAGTACAATGGGACTGATAGCGATAGGGTATCGCCAATATATTCTATTTGCTGAGATGAGATGCATGAGGGTTGAATCGAGCTTTCCTCTTGATGCAGTTTATTATGTTGGTATGATATGTAAAGACTTGAAGTGCTCTAGCTATATATGTGAACCTCTGTTGTACTACTTGATGCCTTGTTTCAGCTTGCAATCCTCTAGTTCATCTTACCTGGTTAAAAGTTAAATTGCTGAACCAGCTAGTTTTTTTGCCGCTGCTTTTGGTTGAGCTTCTCATTGTAGATGGCAACATATAATCCTGTTTGTTCTGGCTGGCTTTGATAGCTTTAGAGTGTCTATATGTGCAGTTGCTTTTTGGTGAGCTCCTCATTGTACAAGGCAACAGGTTCATCATATAATAAATCCTGTTTGTTCTGGGGGGAGAAACGATAACCTTGCTTTGACGGACGATATTTCGGGATCGGTCTCTCACCTTGTGGTCCGAAGTCCGAACTGAATCTATCTGTTAGTATGAGTGTAGTTTTCTGCTAACTCAAGTTTATGCGTTGGCAAGTCCTGCGTGGTGGCAAGAAAGTTTTAGAGGGTCCAAGCTGTAGCAGTAGACGTTTCAGATTTCAGAGTTTTGTTTTCTGAAACTAGTGCCGCCTCTGCACCTGGGGATGGACAAAGCCAAGTGTAGAATATAAACACTGAAGTGGAACACCTTTCAAAACAAAACACTGAAGTGGAATACTGTTCTATTCTACACTGTGTCGAATTGGCACTAGCTAGAGGTGTAGGAAAAATTGTTGGCACTCAAGTCATCACGCAGAGCAACAAGCCAGCCAGCAGGTGTAGGTTCTTTATTTTCAGCTCACAGTATCTGTTCTATTCTAACTGATCAGTATAAGCTACATTAGACTATATAGACAACAATAATGCCTCATGGGATCTGAACATTATTTTACAGGGTCGAGTTTCAGTTTGTCGAAAGGGCATCTAATCTATACTCACGGGTCAAAAGGGTGAACTGAGTACTCCCTCCGTTCGGAATTACTTGTCTCGGAAATGGATGTATCTAGAACTAAAATACATCTAGATACATCCATTTCTACGACAAGTAATTCTGAACGGAGGGAGTAGATGGCAACATATAATCCTGTTTGTTCTGGCTGATTTTGGGAGTGACGACAACTTTGCTTGAATAAGGCTTCAGAGTTTCAGATAAAAAAAATGTGTGTTAGCAAGCCCTGCGTCTGCGCGGATTATTCTGAAACTTTGAGATCTGCGTCAGCTAACCTAATCTGAGTGAATCAGCCAGTGTTCACGCTGCTGCTGTTGCTGTTGCTTTTGGACTGCATAAGTTTGGGGCTGAAGATTTTCTTGTGTGCTGTCAACATACCACTCCCTCCATAACTTAATATAAGACTTTTCTGACACTTGACATAGTGTGAAAAAAAGTCTTTACGGAGGGAGTGTACATAGCAAAGATCAAAGATCCGACAAGCATCACATATTCATTCAACAGCAGCTGATGGATTTCGAATCGATTTGTCACCCCCCTTCCCTTGTGATCCCTACCCTACCTAGCATATTTGGAGTTTCTGTCATGCACTGCCAATCTGAACTGAATCCGTTAGCACGCAGGCCTTTGAGAATGAATTCAGAGTTTTGTTTTCTGAAATGAAACTAGCTAGTGCCGACTGCCGAGTGAGAGAGGGGACCCTCCAGCCTGTGGCATAGAATGAGCACATTTTTCTTTTCTTGTCTTCGAATGTGGAAGAATAAATAAATAAATTGCTTTCTGAAACTAAATAAATAACACGAGCACTGAAGTGGACTCATACATACAGCTGGTATCAGTCCAGACATGATTTTCTCAGCTTGTTAGAAATGACTTCTAACAATCCAACTGAACTGAATCCGGGCAAGAAAATTCACACGGTCCTAGCACCCACCAACCTTTTTAGAGGTTATTATTACATCATTACATCAGTGAAAATTTAGTGCAGATTGGGGAGCAAAGAATAAGCAGCAGTACAAAGTGATCAAGATGACCGCCCGCATGGGAAGGAATGGAACTTGTATTCATATTTGACAAGCCAAAACAACGGGTTCGATCGATGGCTGTGAATGAATGGGCAACTACTCAAATTGCTGCTGATCCGCAGGCAGAGATGCACTGCAACACACGTGGAAAAAAGAGTGAATTCCACTTTTTACCCCATATTTATACATTTGTGACACTAATTACCCCTTCGAGTGAAAATTCGTCTAGAATACCCCTTTTGAAATCTTTGGACCCTTGTTTTTTGATGCGTGTCCATCAGGTAAGGTGTGAGGTGACGCCCTGTATCCAAAAACATGTGGACGGCCACAAGGAGTGGAACAGATAGACAAGAGAAGCTTGGACAAGATCGCCAATGATGCCCTCCGATCCTTACAGTTTTTTTTACAAATCAATGACGCAACATGCCGATCCTATCGACCATAAACAGACAAAATGTAAAACTGGGGTAAAACCGTGTTAAAAGTCTCCAAAATCTGACATTTCGATAAAAGTTCCGCTAAATAGGGTAATATGTGTCATAAATGTACAACTACAAGGTAAAAAATGGAATTCACTCTGGAAAAAACAATCTCACAACAAACCGTTAAATCACAAGCACAAGCAATGATAAAAAAAAAGCATGATAAATTGATTGCACATCTGAAACTGTACGAGTCATGTATATATAGGTACAATAGCATGCCCAAGCACTCTAGAGGTAGCAGCATCAGCTTGCAGAAACTGGCTTGCTCTGCCTACAATACAATACTGATCAATACTACTGTATGAGCTTAGACTAGAGATAACAACGGCTCATGGGATCTGAACAATAGAGGGCCGAGTTTCGATCTGTCCAAAGGGCATCTATCTATACACTCACAGCACAGGTCAAAAGGGTGAATTGACGCACTTGAGACGTCAGTAAGAGAAAATCTTGCAGAAACAACAACGGTTTCAAGCTTCAGAGATTTCACTTGACGAGAGAGCAACCCAAGAATAAAAATACATAAGCGACCAGCGAAGTAAGGAGCTCCAGACACCAAGTACGCGGGAAAATAAATGCCGGGGTCACTGGGACTACCAGGTACCAGCGAACCTACTATCCAGCCACCCGCAAAGAGCCCAAGCCTGCAAGTACACAGGAGGATTAAACACCCTATGCGTGCGCGACTAATAACGACCAAGGGACTAGTACACGTATGTTGCTATGCAGGTGATAACTAACCCTGTAGCAGACGCCCTGGCAAGGTTTTTCATCTTGTCGTTGAGGAAGTATATGCATGAGACGAGTGCCAATGCAAGCTGCAACAGAAAACCATCAATGTTAAAAAGCTTGTTACAACCAGCAAGACCTATAATTGGTATAATAGGAGGCTCAATCTATCTTTTTTCTGCCTAATGGTTCCTATCCCCAAACGCAAGAGAAATAAACAACAGTCTTAGGCTGTAAGTGATCTCTAACAGTTTCAGTGCTTAGGAAAAAAACAAGTACTGAATCAGTTGGGAGAAGCATATATATACCTGGAAGGTAGGTCCAGTCTCAGCAGAACTTGCGATGCTCCACCCAGCAATAAAGCCAAAGAGAGCAAACCTTTTTGACACGACATCCATCGATGGCACCTCGAAGTGTCCAAGCAGTGACTTAACCCATGATGGAGATTCTTCCACTTGCTTCTTTAATTTGCTTTTCAGGTTGATTTTCGATTTCTTACGGTGTGAGTAGCTTTTCATCATTATCCTATCATAAGCACCTTCAATTGCCTCTTCGCTTTCCTCATACCCAGCGTATTGTTGAAGAAGGAAGTTTCTTGCACTATTGATCTCTTCTTCAGATGCATCACGATCAACACCAAGAAGCATGTAGGATCCCATGTTTTTTGTCTTGGGAATACGGGAACATGCTCTACAAATACACATTAACTCGGCTCAAATAGAAATATAATTGCTCAAGATGGTACGGCAATACCTTACAATACAACACAAAACTGATGGAATCTCATAAGCTCTAGAGAAAAAAACATGAAGTGACATAAGAGCAGTGAACAAGAAAATCATACAAAAGAGTATTCAGAACCCAAGGAAATGACAAAAGGCATGCATTCCAGGTTCATTCACCACAGGTTATGCTATACTTTGTTAATTCAGTCTCTACCACTCATTCGCAACTAGCAAAAATGCAGGCTTCAGTTGCAACATTTACAATTCACCAGTGAAAATGCCAGGACAGCAAAATTATAATCCAACAAGAGTCTGTTGCAGTTAAAAAAACGAAAATGACGATTTGGTTTCTTGTTTTGACCACTGGTTCAACAATACATAACACAGAATGATAACAAATCTAGTGAAGACAAAAATGATGAACAACCAACAGGGGTGCCGACCCCTCCCCTCGTCTCCCCTCCCGCGACG